GAGTACTATAGTGCAGAGCCACGGGCTCAACTCCACCGCAGCGGTGATTTAGATAGGCGGGCGAAGGGCTTCTGGCTGCCGAAAGAAAACGGATAGAGGCCCGAAACTTGTACATGCCTGGCACCCAGGATAGATTTCACCCGGACTACACCAAATCTTACACACAATGCTCAATACACATTGTCTTCAGAAATACAGAACTTCTTTTTGTGCATCACATATACAGTAACCATATATTCGATATCCATGCGCCGAAGCAAGAGCAAGACACACAGATTTTCACCGATTTTTGTCTTCTTACTTCGTAGTAGAAAAAATATCAAGTTCATTTAAAATGACTCTGTAAATACATATTCTATTTCCAATGCGATCATAGTTAGATCGTCAAGGACTAAATGTCAGCGTTTTACAGATACATACTAGCATTTGATACATAGCTGTACACTATTTACTGATTTAATAGTATCATTAATAGGAACTGCATGAACCTACCTCCAAGTGTCCTAAATGCAGGTGTAAAATTGTGTGGCGTTAGGTCGTATTTTATCTTTTTGGATCAATAATGGGGGCGGTGCGTTTATACTACAACGTTAGGTTTGTGTGACGTTATTTTTTAAAAGTGATTCATAATTTTTTCTTTATAATTTTGTTTTAGATTTAGTTCAATGTTAAATGCTTGTTAGATATTTGCAAATAAGCTCAAGAAATCTACAGCATCGTGAAATAAGCAGGCATTCACCGTTTAAAAGCTTAAAGGTTTCTCCCCATGTTTGTATTCTCGGCGTGGGACAAGCCAAACAAGGGCGTTCACTAGTACTCGCCTGTTGCTATGCGCGCCTAGCGACCCTGGTGCGCGCGACACTTGGAGTGCCTCTTGAAATGTCTTTGTTTGTGTTGTTGACGTGAACTTCGAACCAGTCGGCAGGATTTTGAATATACCCTTATAAGAACTACGGTCTTTGAGGGAGGGAGGCTTTTACCTCAAAAAAACATTACAGCATTCTCCTTTTTTACGTCTAACTTGACTTGACTTGAGTTGAGTTGAGTTGAGTTGTGCTTCTCCCAGTGTGTTGGTGATTTTGTTTCTTACGCGTTCCATTTTTCCTTGAAAGGCACCCAAAATGATTTTAGGGTAGAAAAAATTGATTTTTATGTTTTTTTATTATTCTGAAATGTCGTAAGTTGAATCAACTCAATCCCTTCACGTTTTTTTCCGAGAGAAAAGTGCGATTTCCATGACATAAAACATTTTTTTTTCGTATCTCGAATCGTAGGTTTCTAGCTATTTAGGGAAAGTGGCAAGAGATAAAGAGACTCTTCGCTTGGGTTTTTCTTGACCAAGCATGCAATGATGTGGAAAACATCCAAAGAAATGTCAGTTTATGTCAATATCAGACAAATTTCCTAATCCAGAATTTTTTTTATCTATGCAATGCCAGTCTCAGCTTAGCAGCTGTCACAAGGGCGCTGTCCAATACCACTGAGGTGGCGGTTAACACTGCTCTTAAATTTATGTCTGTCCTTAATAGCTACAATGTCCTGTGGGAGGGAGTTCCAGAGCTGTACTGTGGTCGGTAGGAAGGTTCTTCTGTGTGATGTTGTAGATGACTTTGGTTGCCTAAAATTGCATTGGATGCCTTTAACGTTTTGGCAAAATAGAGCATATTATCATGACGCTAAAGATAACAAGAACATTTGAATATTCCTTACCCTTCTAGCTGAGCTGTACTCTGCCTCGTCTAGGGACTCAGGCGTGCGAGCTTTCTCGTCTTCTGAACCTCCTGAAATATGGGAGTAAAACAGTCTCAGTCTAGTTTAACGTCAGGCTAACGACAACTGGTAATCGACAGCAAGCATTGTAAAGCACTGGAATCTAGAATGTGCCAAGTATGGGACAAGTATAATTACGGATACGTACAGTTACCGAACTATATACGGTAAATGTAGCAAATATTTTATTTGTTTGTAATATTCCAAATCAGTGCACGGCTGGAACACGATTAGGAATCAGCCTCCTTCGCAGTCTTGTTGGGCGTCGGCGTTATTTTTATCTGTGAGCGGCGAGGGAGTTTTTGTCGCGGAGAGAAGGATTCGTGCTTGTTGGAGGCTAATTAGGAATGTTTCATAACGTAGCCGAACGCATTGTCAAGCATCCGGAGTCCTGTGTACAGTGGGTCATCACAGACTCCATCTCGTGCCTTGCTTTGCTGTATGTGTATGTACAATGTATGTATGTGTGTGTGTGTGTGTGTGTGTGTGTGTGTGTGTGTGTGTGTGTGTGTGTGTGTGTGTGTGTGTGTGTGTGTGTGTGTGTGTGTGTGTGTGTGTGT